TGCATTGAATCACTTGGAACTTTGGGTGATTTTTCTTTTGGAGGGGGGTATTATTGGCTTGTTTCATTATTCATTTCTCCACCCTGGAATTCCACACAGAGGAAATCTGGTAACACAATGAGCAGAACTGGCCAAGAAAGACAGTTTGTGCCATGCAAAATGTGGCTCTCCCTCAGTTCTGCATGACGGGATTGGGAATTGGCTGCTTAGCAAGAGCGGAAGTCACGCATCACAACAGCTGATGTGCCAATTCTTCAAGTGGTGCTGAGATCCAGTCACGCCCAGCATCCCTGTAATCATGAGTCTGGATTAGCTCTCAGCCTTAGCTGAGAGTTTTGTTACCCAGCTGATAACTCAGTTGGCGCACCGTGCAGGGGGTAAAGCCTAAACCCAGTAAATCTTGAAGTTCTTAGTTGAATCCTGGGCTTGAGGGGGGCAGAAAAGACAAGGTTGTAGCTTAATGAGCAAGGCTCACTTTGCAGGCCAATGTTCACAGACTGGAGAGTGGTCCAGCTTACAGAATAACACAGGTGGAAGAGACTTTGGAGGTCTTCTAGTCACCCTCCTGCTTAAGCAGGAGACCCTATACCATTTCAGAGAAATGATTGTCCAATCCCTTCTTTAAAACCTCCAGCTTCAGAGCAACCACAACTTCTGAAGGCAAGTTGTTTCACTGGTTAATTGTTCTTACTGTCAGGAACTTGCACCTTAGTTCTTGGTTGGATCTCTTTTTGATAAGTTTCCAACCATTACTTCTTGTCCTGCCCTCAGGTGCTTTGGGGAATAGGTTGTCCCACAGAACAGGTTAACACTCCATTGACTGGCTGTCAGTCATTGTGGACAATAACTGAGAAGGTGAAGTTTCAGATTCTTTGTAAAGCACATTTCTATGTTCCTGTGAATCTTGTGGAGCCACCTACTGGTAGCTGGCTGAATTTTCTCTCTCCTATGCAAGGCAGGGCAGGGACTTCATGATAATGATGCTGAGAGAGGAAAACCCTTAGTGCAGAAAAAATGAAGGCTGGGACATTTTCTTCTCTTTGTCATGATGCTAGAGCTGGAGGTCAGCTTGATTCAAAGCAGAAACAGAAGGCATGAGAGGCTTTTTCAGCATTCACTGCTTTACACACTAAAAGGAGAGACAATCAGCTCAGAGAGAAGGGATGTGCCTTGGAGGGGACACTTTTGTAAGGTATTAAAAAGCAAAACTTAATATTGATGAAACTTAAAGTAACTGAACAACATTAAATAAAGAGAGGTAAATATAAATGAATATAAATGTGTAGATAAGAACAAATGAATATTATAATGTGTGTGTGTGTGTGTGTGTATGTGTATGTGTGTATGTATATGTGTATATATATATATATGTAGGTCTTTGGTTATTCGGGTCTTCTCCCACGTAAAATTGGAAGTGTCTTGGCGACGTTTCGACGAAGTCTCATTCGTCATCTTCAGGCTGGTGTTCTCGGCTTCGTGCTTCCAGGAGCAATGTGAGATCGCAGCTGTCTCTTCCTTTTAACTGCTAGTGGGGGTGTGAGCTGATTGGGTGGGAACTTGGCTGTGTTCTGATTGGGTGGAGGTGTGTTCTGATTGGTTAGGGGCTTGGCTGTGCTCTGATTGGATGGGGGGTTGGTTGTGCTCTGATTGGCTGGGGGTGTGTTCTGTTTGGGTGGGGGCTTGGTTGTGCTCAGCTTAGTCTGAGTTGCAGGGGGATTTGAGCTGGTGAGCTGCATTGTTGTTGTTTGGCTTCGTGTTTGTGGCCGTGCGAGCTCTTCATGGTGGGTGTCAGTCTGCTTCATGGATGGATTGGAGGGGTTTAAAGTGGCTAATGATGCAGCTGCGGTCTGGCTTCTGGTCCTTGGTCGTGGCTCATTATCAGTGTGGGTTTGAGTCTGCTTTCTGCGTGGATGTGTGGTGGTGACATCCTGTGTGGCTCTCGTGAGTGTGGGTCTGGTGTCATTCATCGTGGGTATACCTCCCGCCTACCAGCTATTTGGAAACCCGCCCTTATTGACAAACGAGTCCCTAACACGATGAAACAACAACAATGCAGCTCACCAGCTCAAATCCCCCTGCAACTCAGACTAAGCTGAGCACAACCAAGCCCCCACCCAAACAGAACACACCCCCATCCAATCAGAGCACAACCAACCCCCCATCCAATCAGAGCACAGCCAAGCCCCTAACCAATCAGAACACACCTCCACCCAATCAGAACACAGCCAAGTTCCCACCCAATCAGCTCACACCCCCACTAGCAGTTAAAAGGAAGAGACAGCTGCGATCTCACATTGCTCCTGGAAGCACGAAGCCGAGAACACCAGCCTGAAGATGACGAATGAGACTTCGTCGAAATGTCGCCAAGACACTTCCAATTTTACGTGGGAGAAAACAAATATATATATATATATATATATATATATATATATATATATATATATACGCACACACACACACACATATATACATATATATATGTTGGAGTAATGTGATTATTCTACTATTGAGTAGTAAATAGAAATGATAGAATAAAGAACTACAAAAGCAAAGTACATAAGTTGATACGAAATGCTGTAAAATTACCATTAATGTTATGTAATGTTCAATACGTTACGTTTTGACGTTTTGTTTTTATATATGTGTGATTGTTTTTTGTGTTGTTTTTAAAGACAGTTTAATAAAAATTATTTTATAAAAAAAAAGCGAAAGTACAAGTAATCTTCGACTTACAACAGTTTGTTTAGTAATCATCGGCACTGGAAAATGTGACTTAGACCATTTTTCAGTTACGACTTTTGCAGCATCTCCACAATCATGTGATCAAAATTCAGATGCTTGGCAACTGGTTCATATTTATGACCATTACTGTGTCCCAAGGTCCTTCGATCCCCTTTTGGTGACCTGATGAGCAAAGTCAATTGGGAAGCCAGGTTCACTTAACAACTGGGTTACTGACTTAACAACTGCAGTGATTCACTTCACAACTGTGGTTAAGTGAGACTTGACAAATGTCTCACTTAACAACAGAAATGTTGGTCATAAGTTGAGGACTATCTGTATGTTGGTGTGTTGTGTGCCTAACAGTCAACTTCTTTATTGGTATGGGAAAGGCAAGGGAGTAAGTGATGACACAACATATAACAGAATAATAGAGTTAGAAGGGACTTTGTAGGTCATCTACTCCAACTTCCCGCCCAAGCAGGAGACCTCACACCATTTCTGACAGATGGCAGTCCAGTCTCTTCTTGAAAGCTTCCAGTGATGAAGCTCCCACAACTTCTGAAGGCAACTTCTGTTCAATTGGTTGATTGGTCTCACTGTCAGAAAATTTCTTATTTCTAGGTTGAATCTCTCCTTCATCAGTTTCCATCCATTATTCCTTGTCTGGCCTTCAGAGGCTTTGGAAAATAGCTTGACCACTTCCTCTCTGTGGCAGCCCCTCAAATATTGGAAGACTGCTATCATGTCTCCCCTGGTCCTTCTTTTCACTAGATTAGCCATGCCCAGTTCTTGTAACTGTTCTTCATATGTTTTAACCTCCAGTCCCGTAATCATCTTGGTTGCTCTTCTCTGCACTCTTTCTAGAGTCTCAACATCTTTTTTATAGTGGGATGACCAAAACTGGATGCAGTATTCTACATGTGGTCTTACTAAGGCTTTATAAAGTATTAGTACCTCCCTTGATCTTGATTACTGCTGTGCAAATGACACTTATGTGATTGATGCAAATTAAGCAGCTTGCATCACCTGCGTGATGATATCATGACCCTAATGAATGATATCACTGAGGCTTCTAATAAACACTTATCGCTTCCTGTCACAATGACATGAGTTTTCTATTAGATGGATTAGTAATCTACCCAAGCCTGGCTCTCCCCCCTCTTTTTTTAACTCTTTTCTTAGATTATAGTCAAGTCAGTTTCACCAAAATAACATTTATAGGAAAGCGGGAAATGTCTCAATAGTCTCTTTTAGTTGCTTAAACTCCAAATCTTTAGCATTAATTCTTCATCTCCTCCTAACATATCTATTTTGAATCCACTTCCACAAGGCTAGGAGGAATAAAGTGCAGCTAGTGTCTGTGAAATCAACAGCTGTTTTCTCTGGACTGGGGTTTCCCAGGTGTCAGACTACAATTCCCATGAATGGCCGTGCTTGGGGATAAGACGGGTGGTACAAACCGACATATATTTCAAGGATCTGAGGTTGAGGATGGATATTCTGGAGAGTGAAGACTATGGAAGAAGCTTAAAACTAAAAGGAGATGCTCTTCTTTTCTACAAAAATGGATCGGAATAGGTAAGACATTGCATTTTCTTTTGTTCTCTCTTTTTTTTAAGTGTCTCGCATAGCAGAGCAAGCTGTCTGATCATCCCTGCCTTGCTGACTCCCAAGAGAACTCTTTCTGTTGATGTTCTCTTGAGGATTCTCCTTGTAAGGCTGGGGGAAAAACTGTATTGTCATAGGGGAGAAACGTGCCATTTGTTCAGCTGCCTTTACAAGGCCTCCTGGTGGATGGTGCAGAAAATCACCCAAAGAATCCTGTCCTGTTCCTGTGTTCACATGCTGCTGATAAATGCATGATGGGAGTTTTATGAAAATTGCCGCTTCTTAGCCAAAAGCTATAGAAATGGGAGGGCTTGCCAAGTAACTGATCGTGATGTTGCTCGTGAGGTTTTTATGAAAAGTTTTTTAATGGGTCAGAAAAAAACCTACACAGGCATCGTTTGCTGCCAAACTTCCCAGATTTAAGAAACTGCCAGTAAATCTTTCAAGGATATACAATGTAAATTCTGGAAGCTCCCTGCCTGTGGAATCTATCAAAATCCAATGCTAGGACTGTTACTTATCATGAAGGGGAAACGGGAGAGGAATTTATGTACCTGTTCAAGAAGACTAAGAGGAACTGACCATTACAGAGTGAAGATCCCAGGATCCCCATACCCCATTTACAATGACCACTTCCCAATATTTTCCAGGAGGAACATCTCACTGACCTGTCCAGGGATGGAAGGAACAGTTGGCTTTTCGGGGGTCAGCAGGCTGCCTGGAATGTCAGACTGGTAGGAGATGGGAGGAGGCCCAGGGTTGAATTCATTTAACGTTGGGGTGCCGGGGTTCACAGTGGGGAATGAATCTGGGTAAGTTCCAGAAAAGGTTGAATCTGAAAGAACAAAAAGTAATAGTCAGAGGGAAAAGTTATCTTTCAGAAAAGGCATGTACATATACAAATGTTGTGAATGAAGGTTAGTTCTAACCCCATGTAACATAATCTAGGGAGGTAAGTAGGGCAGGGACCCAGCAAGTCATCGTATCAATAGAATTCATAGAAATCCCCTGCGATAGTTAAGCAGCAATTATGTGCGTATCTTGTTTCTTAATGATACAAATGTAACACTTGTGCCTTTTAATGGTGCTTATGCACCATACACAAGGTAGATCCATGAGATCCCAGTGAGATCTAAAAGAAGGTGCTCTCTCTCTCTTGGAGGAGAAGACTGTACCCCTCTCTAGAGCCATGGTGGCACAGTAGTTAAGAGTTCAGTATTGCAAGCAAACTCTGCCACAGCCAGTTCGATCCTGACCAGCTCAAGGTTGACTCAGCCTTCCAACCTTCCAAGGTCGGTAAAATGAGGACCCAGATTGTTGGGAGCAATATGCTGACTCTATAAACAGCTTATAGAAGGCTATAAAAGCACTATGAAGTGGTATATAAATCTAAGTGCTATTGCTGTCTCTCAAGAGCTGGGCCTTTCTCCCTCTCCACCTGCCCCAGGACTCAGAGGCTGACTCACTTTGGCTGGTATAGTCGTTGGTGCCACCGCCAGCAGAAGAGGACTGCAAAGATCCAAATGGCGAGGGACCCGGTCCCAAGGCTGCAATCATCTCCATGACACTGGGCATCACCATATGGGTGGGACTCATGGTGCGGCAACGCTTCAGCACGGGTCCATCCTGTTCCTCCTTGATGTGGATGTCAGGTTTGATTGGGACCGGCTTCCAGCTGCACGTTGGGTCAATGGTGATCTCTTCATATTCGGAGCTGGGTAAATGGGACGTTTGCACATGACACTCAACCCTGGCCCCCACACATGGTGGATTTATACAACCATACAATTATTCACATGTCATAAAACATGCTGGGTTGAGCAGGAGGTTGGGCTCAATGGCTCACATGGCCTCTTCCAACCCTAGAATTTTAGGTCTCTACACAGGACTTCTTGATCATGAGCTGGTAACCTTGAACCGCCCACAAGACACACCAGGTATGATCCTTCACTATTTCAGCTATGAGGTCATTGTCTAGCCCACAAGGAGGAAAAGGAAAAATAGAAAAAGAAAACAAATAAACAATCCCAAAGGGTTCTAAAAAAGAAAATCTCTAAATGGCTTTAAGGTGATGGTTAACTGCTGCAAACTAGTGGTAAAAATGCCTCACAAAGATTTGGGGGTTGATGTTGAGGGGCTTCCAGCTTACATTTCTGGGGCTACATGGATGGTTGCCCCTGTTCTTAGCAAAGTTGTTTTGCTCACCAAGAGACATTATTTCATTTGGAAAAACAGACAGCAGAATACAGCGCCTTGCTTGTTCTTTTCTTCATTGAAAAAGAATGCTTGTAAGCTGATTGCATTAGGCAAAGAATAGCTTATAGGAGAGCTACTGTTACTCCACCCATGGAACAAGCTCTAGTGTTTTTCATGGGGCTGTTATCAGATGGAGGTCCTTGGGGAAGCATTTTTTCTACCAACATTGTTATAAGAAACACAAGCCTGACAATATTATGGGAATTCAAATGAGGAACTGTGACTCTAGAGGAAATAAAACAAGAGAGCCAGCTGCATGGAGTAATATTGTGCTGCATTTTGCTTTAATGGAAAGATCTGGTTTCTCTTCGAGCTTAGCCTCCCTCCTTGAGTCCTTCACAGTAGTCCAGATATGATGCAGCCCATGGTGTGGATAAGCACAGGTAGTCCTCAACTCGCAACAGTTCGTTTAGCGCCCATTTAAAATTACGACACTGGAAAAAGTGACTTATTGTCGCAGCATCCTCATAGTCACGTGATTAAAATTTGGGCAGTTGCAACTGGCATGTATTTAAAGTGGTTGACATGTCTTGGGGTCATGTAATCACCATTCATCACCTTCCCAGATGGCCTTTTACAAGCAAAGTCAATGGGGGAAGCTAGATTTGCTTTAAAACCACATGATTTGCTAACAACTGTGGTGATTTGCTTAGCAACCACGGCAAAAAAAAAAAGGTTGTAAAATCAGGCACGATTCATGTAACAACTGCCTTGTTTCGCAATGGGAATTTTAGTTCCCATTGTGGTTGTAAATCCAAGACTACCTGTATTACCAAGGTAGTTCAGTGCTGGTCACAGCTGACATGCTAAATAGCGCTCAAGCTCCTGAATGAAAAGGAGGGTATCCCTCAGTTAAATAATTGTGCAATTGGCTGCTTGCCAATCACAGTCCAGGCACAATGTGGTGCAAAGGAGCTTTCCTAGGCTACAGTCTTCAGAAGGACAACCATTTACCAAACGGATGAGTTAGGGTGAGTGGGTGATAGCCCTTGCCTGCCCCCTGGCGGCCATAAAACAGCATCATCACACCTGGCCAATCTCATTTCTTTTTATACAAGAGTGAAAAAACCAGCAAATCCAAGAAACTTACTTTTGAATGTAAATCAGGATTCCCAACATGTACTGGTCCACTTCAAGCCCTTCCAACAAGGCTGTTTTACTGAATGAAAGAAGAAAAAATGGGGGGCGGGGGGAGTAACCATATGCAATGCTCTGACAGGCTGCAGCTGCAAAATTTCAAACCTTAAGGTTTTATAGAGAAGGGAGGTGGGGTGGGGTGGGGTGCAACTTTTGGCTGTCTAAGTTTTTAAAGGTAAAAACAGAACAATAACTGAGTATATAGTCAGCCAGACACCTGATTATAATCTTTAAAAGGGCAAAGATGTAGGGACAAACCCTATCTCCTCTGGACCTTGTTGGGAGGTTGAGCCCAGCCAAAGAATTAATGCTGGGCCTTGGTGCTGCTGTCAGTCAACTGACAACCTTTAAGGGCTCTGTTTTGTGAGCAGCTCTTGACTTCAGCCCAGTAGCCCTGTGACAGCTGTGCCACTGAAGAGGAATGGAAGGAGAACTATTGCTTTTAGATCTTGCTTAAGAACTGTCCAGCCCAGGCTGGCCACAATAAACAGCTACACAAATTAATCCACAGCATTTTTCCCAACCTTGGGAACTTTAAGATGTGTGGACTTCAACTCCTAGAATTCCCCAGCCGGCACTGGAGTCCACACATCTTAAAGTTCCCAAGGCTGGGAAAAACTGGTCCAGAGGTTTTCTCTTGTATGCTGCTTTCCTAACGAAGGTCCTTTCTTGGATTTAATATCCCAAATGTCTTTGTTTTTGCCACAACCGCTTCAAACATAGATGCTTACTTGCAAACAGGACATCTCCACGTCCCCCTTTCACAATTTAGCTGCAGATAGGATTCCAAGTCGAAGCACTGCACAGAGAAAGAAAACAGGACTCAATTGGGCAAAAGGCATTAGAAAACAACTCCAAAACCTTTGGGGACAAGGGCAACTGTCCAATTTCAGGATGATATCTGTACTGGATCCCTCGAATGCTTTCCCTTCCACAAGAATAAATGATTGGGGTTTTCTCCTTCTCTTCCTTCAACAGCCCACCTCCTTTTGTTGGCAGTTCATCGTTCTTGCTGCAGGACTCTATTCCTACCTTCTCTGTTAGCCAGAGGGCAGGAAGACATAGGAGATGATCAGAGACTCACCTGTATGTGCCTGCAGTCATGACCCCTGGCAGGAAGTTGGATTCTCCGAAAAGTAATGGGGCACTTCAGAGACACCTTAATGGCTGTCTGCTCCACACCATCTTCGCCATTTGGACCTGGAGTCCCAGGGATTGTGCCGCTGCTGAAGTTCCGTTTGACTATGGTTGGAAAGAGGAAAATGATGTGTCAATGCAGACCCAATGGACCAAGGGCAGATTTGAAAGACCACTGGGTCTTTTTCTGCTGTCAGTTTTCTGTTTCTATCTTTCTACGCAACTCAATGGGCTAGGAATGGTGAAGGCCAGCAAGGTTGGGAAAGGGTTAAGATCAGGACAGAGGAGGCCTTTTCTTATTTCTTTACCTTTTTGGCTTTTCCCGTCTCTATCAAATTGTTCATAATCTAACCTAACACGTAGTATTCCAACCTCAGTTAACAATAATAAGAGCTTCCCTGGCCCATCTGATAACTTGGCCCTCCTTACAGGTACTCTTTGATTTATAGACATTTGTTTGAAGTTAAGAAGTGCTGAAAAAAAGTGACTTATGACTGGTCCTCACACTTACAATCGTCATAGTGTCCCTGCGATCATATTATCAAAATTCGGACACTTGGCTACCAGTAGGTATTTACAATGGCTGCAGCATCCCAGGGTCACGATAGCCATTTGCGACTTCCCCAGACAAGCAAAGTCAGTGGGGGAAGTCAGATTTGCTTAGCAGCTTGGTGAATTCTGGGAGGTGAAGTCTACAAGTTTTAAAGTTGCCAGGTTGGACACCCCTGCTCTACACTCTTCGGTTTGGTCTTCAGAACAGCCTTTTCCAATATGGTGCATAACGGACCTACTCCAATGACTTACAGGAAGCATGGAAATTTTCCCCCTTCTCCTGAGCGATGCATTTGTGAAGCATCTGCTCTTTTGCCATGCATCTCTGATCCCAGCCTAATGGAACTCTGCAGAAATTCTGCTGGTTGCTTTTACTCTCCTGAAGAACCAGGCCAGACAGTTCTGTCTCTTTGGTCAGACTTTACAGGGGGGGGAAGGATGCCAAAGAGCAGAGATACTCACTTTTGGTGATGCAGTGCTCGGCCGGCAGCAGCCGCTTTTTGATTAAACCTTGCAAAACGGACCGTACTGAAGGCCTGTGCACCAATTGCAGGACAAAAAGGTGGGACTAAAATGAAGAAAGAAGAGAAGTCACCAGAGCTAAACACACTCACAATTTGTATTACATGACAAAGCAGTGTCAGATCTGCCATCTTCAGCATGCCTTGCTTCCCGTCATAAAACGGAGGGATGACAGGGTGAAAGGAACCAGATGTGTCAATCTGGAATGAACTGGCTGATCAAGGATGAAGCTATGAGAGTGGAATGCGAAACTCAGCCAAAGAGGTGCCAAACCCCAAAGCTGTTCCCAAAACATTGGAGGAATATGATTGGACATTGATTGGCTGGTCAAGGGAGGAGGGCCAGGGAGATGGGAAAACTGTGGGCTTTGAATGGGAATATTCAGATCCAACTTTGCTTATGCTGTAGCTGCTTGACTACACTGAACCTTTCACTTGAACAAAATGGAGTTCAAAGGTCTTTCTTTCCTAAATATCCAAGTTGGGACACACAGACAAAAAGGGCCTTCTGAACCCATAGAAGTGGGTATTTGAACCCAGGGACCAATCAATGAAAATAGTATGAAAAGCTGCTCCACAAGGAAATGGTATCATATGTAGCACACAATCCACTTATGAATTTGCTGCTGCAAGGAATGACAAAGGTAACTCGGTTGGCTTAAAATAGAGGAAACGTCCCCTTTATCCTGGACTTCTTGCATCTGTATGGATTTAGTGGCAGAATTCATCCAGCCAAGAGTAGGCCAAGACCGTCTTCCCCGATCTGGTGCCCTTTGAGTATGTTGGGACTGCAGTCCTGTAGAATTCTTCATCCTAAAGGAATTTGGGAGTAGCCATCTCCACCTACTCAACAGACCTCAAGTTGGAAAAAGCTGATACAGAAATTTTGGGAATTAGGACAAATGGCAATGGAGGACTAGATGGCCATCTGTTATGAAGGAGTCTGGAGTATCAATACCCTTCATAGCAAAACAGAGGCTTAGAGAAGCTGCTATCTTCACTCTATAGACCATTCCCAAACAAACAGAAGTTGAACTTACACAGCAGCAAGCCGTGACTGTGATCTGGATGGTGTTCCTGCCGGGCTGGCAGACCTGCTTTAGGTAGAGGGGTTTGTGTGAAGTCTTGTTGTCTCCCCGCTCGATGGTCAGAGGGGTGGCATTCACGCTGACCTGGACTGAGGCTGGCCAGTTGGTGTTCATTTGTCGGTCCTCATGATGGTAGCATTTAAACTGCAGCTCTAAATCAGGCCTGAGAAGCAGAGAGGAACCACAAAATGCCTTTCTAAAGAAAATCCTCATGGTGCCTTGGAGAAAGCAAGGAGACCATGGGATAAGAACTTAGCAATGGGAGAAAACTCTGCTATGGTCTCTTGTCCCATCTCTTTTGGCTATGAACCTGTGGTCCTCAATTCCTGCTGAGAATTGTGTTGCTGGGGTGCAATTCCCAATAGCCCTAAAGAACACTGCCAAAAGCGATGGGTGCTGAGAACTGTAGCGGCTCAATAGCTGGAGGACCACAGTTCCTCATCTCTATTGTTGAGTTCTCCCTGGGAATGCATGGCAATTGCTGAGAATTCTGGGAGTTGAAGTCCTCTCACCTTTAATTTACCAACGGTGGGAAACACTCTCCTAAAGAGACAGGGAAACGTTTTTCCCCCAGCTAAGGGAAGTTCCTTCTTCATTGGTTAAGATTTATGAAATTGTTTACTCACACAGCAAAAGAATACCTACAAACGCCTAGGGGAGAAGGGCCAGAATTTTTTTGGTGAAATCTTTGGAAAGTTTCTCTCAAACAGACCTGTCAACTAGTTATCTGAAATAATTATTGTACTAAAATCAGCAGGATAATATCCAAACACCTTCCTTAATGATAACTGAAACAAAGTCACTTGGTAGAGAGATGGACAGGACATAATTTAATAAATAAACTGAAATGAAGCAGTTAACAACTAGTTGATAGCTACTACTGTTTTCCCTTTGATTCTCTACTGTTTTCCCTCCACTGTTTCTCCGCTGTCAAAGCAAATCCTTGAATAACCTCACTTGTATTGCTTTTTTTCTCCAGAACATTTTCATTTTTTCCCAGAACGTTCACCGATCTGCAAAAGAGCCTCTCACAGTGTTCAAGTGAGTGCCAGGTACAGCCCAAAGACTCAGAATATACCTGTTGCTGCTTTTTGCAAAAACAGCCGATTAAAATGTTCCACCTAAAGGTGAACTGGATAATTCTCAGAGTTCTCCTGTGCTATTTCAGAAAGAAGATATGGACCAAGGCTGTAGAAACAACAGGGCAGAAATGTGCTATTGTACAGAAAGATGGACTTGAGATCATAAATAGGTCTTGTTCAAAGAACCTTTTCTGGTTTTCAGGACTGTTGGAGTTAGGAGGCAAATAACACAGTTTAGAGCTTTGCTCTTTTGCTTTGTTCGAATGTGGGCTCAAAAGCAATGATGAAGTACGTTCTAGTTTATCCTCTGCTCCCAGCTCACCACTTTCGACCATCTTTCAAAAACTGCCTATACTTAATGATCAGGGTGGCAGAAGCCAATTCTTGGTTAGAGAAAGAACAAGATGATGTGTTTACTTAGTAGGATGAACTTAGGAAAATCATCATAGGTCTCACCTGAGCATCAGTGTCTTATAAACAGAGTCCCTGAGCTGGAAGACATGGTTGCTGACCGCCAAGTTGTGCTGGAGGCGGAAAGGCTCCAACACTACACCATCCCGTACAGGGAAGGTCAAACGCAACTCATCACAAGGGTTTCCTGGTGGGACAAGAAAAGAGAGTGGGCTGATCATGAGTGGAAGGTGCACAGCCATAGGTGCAGGGATGATATGGGGCAGAGGAGCCAAGGCAGGCATGGAGGGAGACAGGCTGACCCAGCAACAGGGGACATAATAAGAGATTGTCTGGGCTGTGGGGCATGGCAAGGGGCAGCCAGGTGGAAAAGTGCTGCAGGTGGTGTGAAGAACAGGCCTGGCTTCTGCCTTGACTCCACCAGGGCTGTCATTTCCTTTCCTCCCCCTAATTCTGTTGAATTTTGCAAGCATTTGGGAAATGGATTTTGGTACTCCCTCTTCTTTCTATTCCAACTGCAAGTTAAGGAAGTCTCTCAAGATTTTTTCCCCCAGCACCAAACTGCCATTCCTTAACTGCCACGGAACACACCTGACCCCCAAAATTCCATTGCTCTGCACGTAGTCCCAAATTCACATCACGGTCCAGAGCCCAGCCAATATGTAGAATCCAGAGGGTAAGTTTTTCTAGGACTCAACCATTTTGAGTTGTGGGGTGGTGGTGGTGGTGGTGCATTGAGATGTACAGACACACCTGTGTGAACTGGGTGCCTCATTTTTCAAATATCTTTTGGGGAAAGGTGCCTTGCTCCTTAAAAAAATAATAATGAGGGAGACGTCCAGAATGAATTTTTCTTGCTAAAAAAGTGTGTGTTTTGCAAAACGGAGTGGTACAGTCAAGAAAAGCTTTGCCACTTGAGTCCTATGTTGGTTTTCCTACCTTATTGTGTACTATCCCAACTCTCACAACTGAGTTGATCTACAAATATTGTAAATGAGTAAATCAATTAACTAGTGAATTGTCATTACTAAATGATGTCTCATACCCTCTTTAGCTAGGAGAAGCCATAAATCAGCCAGATTGGAAAGGTTTTCTCAGCGTCTAAGACTTACCAGATGGAGAAGGATGCAAAGAACCAATGTTGGGAGATGGAGAAGGATGCAAAGAATTGATATTGGGTTTGATGTCTGGAAGGAATGGTGACTTCACATCCTGTCCTGGGGACATGTAGGGAGGGATATTACTTCCAGGGGTCATCGGAGGTGTGGGGTTACCAGGTAAAGGAGAGCTTGGATAGCCAGGCATAGATCTTCCCGGCTACAAAGAGAACAGAATTATAACTCAGATGTTATCAACTCTTATGAAGCTTCAGCCCACGTTCTAGTAAAAACAATCCCAAACTTTACACAATGGAATACAAGTTGAAAGTCTTCTGAACATTGAACCAGGAAAAAGGTGACTGCATTTACATTCTACTGAATGCATATTTTCCAAACTAACATCCTTGAGATGCATTAACCTCATGGACACAAAGGAGTGTGAAAAATTGGCAGGTCCGTGTGCTGAGGCTTCCTCACCTCTTTTTTCTGTGGGTCTCCCCCACCAAGCCATTATTGCCCAAAATGATTACAAATAGTCCTCAACTTATGACCACAATTGAGCCCAACATTTATGTTGCTAAGACATTTGTTGTTAAATTAGTAACACGGTTGTTAAGTGAATCTGGCTTCACCATTGACTTTGCTTGTCAGAAGGTCACAAAAGGGGATCACATGACCCTGGGACACTGCAATGGTCATAAATATGAATCACTTGCCAAAAATCTGAATTTTGATCATGTGACCGTGGGGATGCTGCAATAGTTGTAAATGTGAAAAATGGTCATAAGGTCACTTTTTTCAGTCATTGTAAATTTGAAGAGTCACTAAATGAACTATTGTAAGTGGAGGACTACCTGTACTTAGAATTATACAATAGGAAGAATTATAAGAAGTCTGTTTAAAGCAGAGGTGTCCAACCTTGGCAACTTTAAGACTTGTGGACTTCAGCTCCCAGAATTCCCTAGCCAGGAGTTGAAGTCCACAGGTTTTAAAGTTGCCAAGGTTGGACACCCCTACTTTAAAGTATCAAACCCTTACAATCATGCACCCAAGGACTAGTCAAACAATGTAACTCTCAATGCAAGATCATTCATTCACTCTCAACAGTAAGCAGAATCTAGTTTGTTTTTACATGGCTGGTTTCCTCTTTTGGGCTTTTTGGCTGTAATCTGGTGGTTGGCCTGTTCTCATTTTTTGCTAGTCACCAGCCACCTATGAATGGGCCAATTGTTTTACAGAAGGAACCATTTCCTTGTATCTTTATAGACCGCCTTAAAAAATATTGCATGTTAGGCTTCTCAAGCTGAACTCGCAGTGGGTAAACAAGGACATAAAGATGCAAGACTTCCTGATTTACTGTCGATCACATTGTGATCTCTATGTACCAAATAAGAATGCTATTTATACTTCAATCAATGTGCAACTTCTTGCCTTTTCTCTCTCCTACTTTATGAAAAGCACTAGAAACTACTCTCTTGTAGATGAGAGACAGTTTATGCCTGTATCTTATTTGGGGGGCTGCAAAATCTGGTATCAGACTGTGCTTTTTACCATGTGAATATATATTTCAATTGTCCCCCAAATGTCCATTTTTTCCAGCTAAAAACAGTTAGAAAAAAAAATATACTCAACTTTGGCCACACCAAGGAGAAGCTCTTGGAAGTTAAAATATAACATTATTCTCTTTGAGTGAAAAGGTGAACTCTGACCCATAATAGGGAATAGGAGCTAACCTCTTGAGATGACACAGGAGAAAAGTATTAAAAATGGACAAAAAATAACTTGCAAAAAGATGCAAGAGAGCGCAACTTCTTGTTAACAAATTACCCCCTTTCTTTAACTCAGTTAGCCTCTACATGGGGCTACCCTTGAGGTGCACCCAGAGGCTCCAACTGGTGCAGAATGCAGCCGCGCGGGTGATTATGGGAGCGACATGGCGCTCATATGTAACACGTCTCCTATGCGAGCTGCACTGGCTCCCGGTGGTCTTCCGAGTGCGCTTCAAGGTGCTGGTTATTACCTTTAAAGTGCTCCATGGTTTAGGACCTGGGTACCTACGAGACCACCTTCTGCAACCGATAACCTCCCACCAACCAGTACGCTCCCACAGAGTGGGCCTCCTCAGGGTGCCGTCAGTAAAGCAATGTCAGCTGATGGTTCCCAGGAGGAGAGCCTTCTCTGTGGGGGCACCTGCCCTATGGAACAGGATACCCCCAGGGATACGAATGATCCCAGATCTCCGTACTTTCCGTCATGCCTTGAAGACCTTTCTATTTCACCAAGCCGGACTGGCATAAATTTTCAGTTTATCTAAATTCTACGCTGAGGATCTTAACTGATGAGCCAAATCGGTTTAATTATTTTAAATTATTTTTATTTCACATTATATGTATGTTATTCTGACTGTTCACCGCCCTGAGTCCTTCGGGAGAAGGGCGGTATAAAAATTAAATAAATAAATAAATAAAGTGTTTCTCCGTGTTTTTTTTTAAAAGTGGGATAAAAATGGAAAAGATGTCAGTCAAAAAATGAACCCAGCAAGAGGTTGATGGTAATTCTAAACTAATATAAAAATACACAAAGTCAAAGTCTTGCTTACATGATGCTCCATTTGCTTCAATTCTGTTTAAGAAACAAGAAAAATGACCCAATGAAGACAGGATGTTGTGTTTTGTTTGTAAAAGGAAAGAGAAGTGGATGAATGAGGGAAGATGTGAAGGTATGTTCTAGGTGGAAGGACTTTGTGAATCTATGTAAAACACATGAGTAAGCCATCCTGGAATGCAGAGGAGATTGGTGAAGAAGATCTCCAGCCCCCCCAAAGATGGGGACCTGGAGGCTAAAACATAGGAAGAACAGTTGCAGGAATTGGGTCTGTCTAGCCTAGTGAAAAGAAGGACTAGGGGAGACATATAGCAAGTGTTTCAATATTTGAGGGGTGCCACAAAGAAGAGGGGATCGATCTATTTTTCAAAGCACCAGAAAGCAGGACAAGAAGCAATGGATGGAAACTGATTAGAGAGAGAAGCAACCTGGAACTAAGGAGAAATTTCCTGATAGTAAGAACAATCATCCAGTGGAATAGCTTGCCTTCAGAAGTTGTGGAAATATGGCAGAGAGATAACACCCGACATCTAACAATAGCAATAGCACTTATGGTATGTACCACTCCACAGTGCTTTACAGCCCTCTCTAAACAGTTTACAGAATCAGCATATTGTCCCCCACTATCTGGGTCCTCATTTTACCGGAAAGATGGGAGGCTGAGTCAGCCTCAAGTCCTTCAGGATCGAAATGCTGGCAGTCAGCAGAGTTAGCCTACAATACTGCATTCTAACCACTGTGCCACCACAGCTCTACATTATTGCCAAATACCTTAGAAAGCCTCATCAGGAGCAAACAACAGAACTCACCCCATTCATAGTAGCTTGTCCATAGGTATTGAAGTTGCCACCGTTAAAATTGGCATTTTGACCATTGAACTGATCAGTAGGCTAAAAAGAGAAAAGTCAAAAGCATTTGTTACTAGAATAATCTGGGCCCTGATTCCCAAGGCAGGAGTTATCCAGTTCCATCCCACCTTAATTGCAAAGCAGTGCTTCTCAACTTTTGCAACTTTAAGATGTATGGACTTCAACTCCCAGGATTCCCGAGCCAGCATGGGAGGTAAAGTCCACATATCTTAAAGGTGCCAAGGTTGAGAAATGCTGCTCCAAAGGATACTGAGTAGGTCATAATTCTACAGACTCATTTTATCCCAAGAGCAAGCAATGACAAACAGAAGATCACTGAATTCTCATGTTATATGTAATTCTCATGTTATATAATATGTTATATAACCTGTTATTCTCATGTTATAATAGGGTCTGACCCCACTAGTAATTTTTTGATCAATTTTCTTCAGCCCAAAAGAAGGCTTAGCTGCACTGAACTGCTGACTTGAAATCTCTCTCCAAAGAGAGAGAGTTTGCTGTGCATGAACTATTGTTAGAAGCCAATTCTACAAGTTGTATGCTTCTTAAATGTTGAATACTGGAAGAGAGTGGAGCATCTCAGCACCTTGGAATTGCTTAACCATTATAGAATTTTCTCTCAGGCCTGATTTAAAGTCCTTCCACCCATATTATGTTTATGTAACTCTTTTTCTTATTACAGGTAATCCTCAATTTATGACCACAATTGAGGCCAGAATTTCCACTGCTAAGCAAGGCTATTTAGTGAGTTGCACCCAATGTTAAAACCTTTTTGCTGTGAGTTTTAAGTGAATCACTGCAGGGTTAAGCAAATGAAATGGCCTCTAAATGAATCTGGCTTTTCCCATCGACTTTGCTCAAAAAACAACTGGGAAGATTGCAAATAACCATTGTAAACATACGCTGATTGCCAAGTGCCTGAATTTTGATCACGTGACTGGGAGGATGTGATGGTTGTAACTTTGACGACCTGTTTTAAGTAACTTTTTTTAGTGCCATTGTACCTTCAGTCACTAAATGAATAGTTGTAAGTAAAGGACTACCTGTACAGTATATACTATAGCATTATTTTCTTGTAGGCTATTTTATATTGCTGGCCTGAGACTGTATTAAAGAAACATCCATTCATCTGCATTTATACAACACACCAATGTGTACCTTAGTTGGGCTCCCACAGTATGGAAAGATAGCCTTGCCCAACAGGAGCTTCTGCTGAGGGATGCAGCTTTTCTACTGAAAGACTATGCTGGCTATGGATTTGGAGAAGTGAAATCAAATCTATTTGAAAGAGAGCCAGATCTAGGATAGTTGAACTAAACTGTAACCAAGATTTACAAATGATAAAGACTAGATTCATACAGTGCAGTAAACCAGACAAAAAACAACCACCTTAAATTATACTTCAGCACAACTTGAAGATTCAAGAGATGTGAGATGGGGTTAAGTGAACTAACAGAAAAAGGATCTAGATCCAGTTTCCCCCAGGCTGCATTGGATTAAGTCCCAAGAAACAATGTTTTTTTTCTGTTATTGCTGGTTTACTCTATAACCTTGAGAGAACATTTTCTTCTGCCCTGTGAAATTATTCAATCAACCTGCACTGACTCTGATTGGGAAGAGTTGTTCTTATGACTGCTAGCTGAAGATTAGAACAAACAGAATATTTTATTAGAACCTTAAAGCCACTTTTCCCCCAACTGACTATTTTCGGGATTGTGGGTTTCCTGTTTTAGAATTCTCCATGATCATTGCCCAGAATTTTGGGAGGTGAAGATCCCACATCTGAAGGCCACCCAGGTTGGAGGAGGCTTTCTTTACAAATCACCAGAATAATAGGGAAAAACCAGTGGAAATACAGATATCTCCCTCCTTCCTTAGGGAGATGTTCTCTTGATCATTCCATTAGGAATCTGCTTTCTCTCCTTACAGAATGAATGTCTGTAGGTCTCTTTCACCTTCACTGAATCTGGTACAGCTGTTACCATAGCAACGGAGTACCTTATAGTATGGGCCGCTAGTACTGGAGGCAGAGAGATAATGGCTCACTCCTTGTTGCAGTGGCAACCGGTGACCAGGATAGGAGGGGGATGGAGCAGATGGTTGAGGCACATTCGTGGCATACTGTCCGGCTTGAGAGGAATACTGGCCACCTTGTATATATTGTTGTCCCGGATAACCCTGGAAGAGATCCAGAAAAAAAGGCAGCTGAGTGATAGCCACATACAATGATGTTGCTTAAATCTGTAAACTGTTTTTAAAGTAATAAATCGAAGAAGGGATTAACAAGAAGGACATCAAGATTTCAGTGAGTTTAGGCATCTCCTTGAAAAATCAACTGGGGGTGGTTTAAGGGTGTCTTATGTCTCTGCTATCCACTAGCCCCATAACCCATAAAACCCTGGAAAAATATTTGTCCCACGCAATCTTCCCTGGTTCAGGGAGCCTCAGAGAAATGCTGGGGTGGGGGGCCTGGGTAGCTTGCAAATGGCTCACCTCTGTGCTGAAAGGTTATGGGGAACTCTGCTGGATGCCCCCACATCTTACTTGGAACGGTCTCCTGGTGTTAATTTCTTTTCTAGATTTGATTGGAGGGTGGCAGGTGTGGTCTCTGCCATCTTGTCTCGGGGTACTGTCAGTGAGACTATACGACTCAGCAAGGGCACTGTTTCAGCCAGTTAAGAGACTAACAAGTTTCCTAATTGCAGGCATCCAGATCAGACCAAAAATGTTAATTGCTAGGCTCTATTTCACTCATTTTAAGTCTGGATGAAATCTTCAGGCCCAGGAAATTGGTTGTTATCAATATTTCAGGAGGGAGCCCAGAATGCCCAACATACTTAATAATTCTAATATACTTTCCTGAGATTGGGTCTTTCAGTTTATTTCTTGCAGTAATTTCATCACCTCATGCTATCTTGACGTCACAGATTCTTTTATGTTGGAGCCCAGATTAGTGAGCTCCAAAACTAGGAGTACAAGTAGCCCTCAACTTATAACCACGTGAGCCCAACATTTCTGTTGTTAAGTTAGATATTTGTTAAGTGAGTTTTGCCCCATTTTACGACCTTTCTTGTCACAGTTGTTATCACTGCAGTTGTTAAGTTAGTAACATGGTTGTTAAATGAATCTGGCTTCCCCATTGACTTTGCTTGCCAGAAGGTTGCAAAAGGGGATCACGTGACCCCGTGACCACAGCAGCTGTCATGAGTCAGTTGCCAAGCGTCTGAATTTTGATCACATGACCATGGGGATGCTGCAAAGGTTGTAACTGAAAAATGGTCATAAGTCACTTTTTTCAGTGCCGTTGTAACTTTGAACACTCACTAAATGAATTGTTGTAAGTCATGGACTACTATAATTTTGGGTAGGAAGAATCCCAGGTTCCTTCCTTTCCTGCTTTATTTCTGCTTTATCCTTTCCTTTTCCTTAGATTGAGCTCTTGTAGTTGGATGTAGGATGTTGACTAGTTTCTGCAAAGTCTGCGCTCTGTGACCTGGTCTCTAGGTAACACACCCACAAGTACTCAAAAGCTAGTACTCACTCTTTACTACACCACTCTTCCTTAATTCTAGTGTAACTCCTATTCCTTCATTACTTCTTTTTGTGAATAACACTTCTATTTGTCTTAGGCTGCTTCAGCTATTTTACTTTCTCAAACACAACCATTGTTCCTGTCCTCTCACACTTGGCATACTGGAAGTATATGCCCAGATCCCAAAGGTCATGTTGGTTGGAAATTCTAGAATTATAGCTGCAGCACAATGGAACAACACTCAGATGGGGAAGACTGACACTCCTTGGCAAAGGACGTAGGTTGTATCCTAAGGCTTCAAAGCTTGAGCTCCAAAACCCTTCCACCTTTGATACACACCTCATTGGAATAAGTCCTCTTGACACTTTGCCGGGGTATCTGCTGGCCTTGTGGTGGAGTAGGGTAGCCATGCTGTGGCATCCTCTGCCCAGCATACAGGGCGCTCATTGTAGGAGTCCTTGCTGTGTTCATGTTCATGGGTGACATCCCGGAGGCATTCAACATGTTGGCTGGATTCATCCCGGGAGGTACAGTTGGTCCTCGAGGCCCCGAATGAGGGAGGAATTGATTGTTGAAAGGCTGCCCAGCACCCATCTCCAGAAAAAGAAAAGGGGAAGAAGTTAAATAGGATTTGACACAAAGCCAGATCTTAGGGAAATGGGTTTGTAGGATCAACTACACCATGCTGGATGTTACAGTAGTCACAATTCTAATGTTTCTATTCAATTCAGCTGACATTTCAGCACTAGACAAACACACCATGGCACATCAACTGTAAGCCATAGCAGTCTCGTTTGCAGGTTCCTCACTTTGGGTCACAATTATTTCAACTCTAAGACCTTGTAGAGTTGACTGTGCTCATTTCTCAGTGAACAACTATCAGACCCCTCATTTTGATGGGTTAATTTGGGGCCAAAAAGCTAATGACCCCCCCTTCTTTGTGTATTCTGACTACCAGGATTTATTATTTTTCTATATTGGCTATGCTAGCTTTGATGGACCACTGGTTGCCTTCCTGTTATGTGCATACTCCATACCCTAAAGCTGCTGCTGAAGGCTAGATCCAAAGAATGACACTGTGTCTACTTGTAGACAAAACATCTCTGGCACTTCAGTAAAGGAAGAGAAAGGCCAAATAAAAGCCAAGGAAAAATATTTTGGGATATAGTGTAGTTAGCGGTCAAAATAAACAATGAACTGGAAGAGTTGACACTTGAACAGTGCAGCCTTCTGATGTTCACAGGGAACCATATGAAACTTTGAAGGTCATCTTGATCAACATTATAGAATGCTGTGATCCCGGCTTCCTTGCAGATGACCAGAAAGACCTGATTTCTAAGCATGAGAGGGAATATTATCTCTCGACTGAACACCTCTCTCTGGATATGTCAAATGAAATTTCCTTCTACATAATTCCTGTCTCCATGGCTTTCACCCCTGTGTCTATCTCTGCAGCAAAAGAGAAGAAATCTACCTCATAATTTGCCTTCTAAAGTTGTGGGTGCTCCATCATTGTAAGCTTTAAAGAAGAGACTGGACAGTCACTTGTCTGGAATGGTATACGGTCTCTTGCTTGAGCAGGGGGGTCCAAGGTCCCTTCCAACTCTTATTCTGTTCATTGTTCACGGTGATAGGAATTCCTCAGTTACTTCCAAAAAACACACAGCACTGCTGCCCTGTATTATTCACACAATTTCATTCTTTGACTTCAACCCATATTCTGGCCAGAGAACAGAAAGAGGAGGAGAGAGTTTATCCTCATCCAGTATTCCAGGAGTGGACAACCTGTAACTTGTGGACTGGCTGCATGTGATTCCTTAACTTTCTGAAGTGGCACCATCTTTGGGTAGGTGCTATTAAATGCTTCATAATTCTGCCTCTTGGACTTGTATCACAAAGTATAAATAGAGGCACATCTCTTCCCATCATGCATCTTTTCTGCCATCTGGTTAGCACTTTCCATCACTCTTATCCCACATTAAACAAACATGCTCAGCTTACCGCTCCATACTGACTCAGCTCCTGGCTCTGCTTTTCTTGTAAGGCAGCAACTGTGGCTGTGGCCGTGGCCGTGGCTGTAGCGGCTGCAGCTGCTACAGCGGCTGCAGCGGCTGCTTGGGTGAAGTCTGCCGGGGGTCTTCCAGTATGAGAAGGAATGCCCATTCCCCCTGGGCCATTTGGGCTCCCTGCATAACTAGAGAAAAGACAGGTTTATAGCCAGGTGGCATATGTTCTGTACCCTCTAATGATGGCCACAATCTAGTGTTGGAAGTCCTCAGAATCTCATGTGCACAGACCATGGTGTCAAATGGCTGGAACTCCAGGATGAATTAAGACAGTACCCTCCCCCCCAACTTTTTGGGCACCAGGGACTGGTTCCATGGAGAAATATTTTTCCACTGTCCAGAGGGGGTGTGGGTGTGCATGCTGCCTGCATCCTGTGGATGGGGCTTTGCTTGTTTGCACGGCCTGGTTGCTGGCATGCTGCAGACTGGTGCTGGTCCTCACACCGGGAGTTGGGGACTCCTAAATTAAGGGCTCTCAGAACTGCTGCTAAATGGAGGAAAAACAAGTACAGGAATTGTGACATTTAGGAAACATGAATGGAACAGAGAGAAGGGCTAGCATTGCGTCCTGTTTTTTAAAGACATTGGCTATGAATATTTTAATCTCAAATACTATTGGTCATAAACTACATCGCTCTCAGCTTCTGAGTTTCCTGTCCAAACATTGTTTTAACTTCTTTTGTTATTTTTGAATGTGGTTGGACAGATATGCATGCATATATAGGACAAGTAAAAGATCACAGGAAATCAAGAAATATAATTAAGATGTGGGATGCTAAACATTAAAAAGGGAGAGACAGAGAAAGCATGCTTCTTTCTAGGCTCCAGATGCTGGTTGCCAAATCCAATTCCTCAGATGGTAATGGCAGGCTGGATTTCTACGTCTTGGTAAATGTTTTGGAGATGCAGTAAAAATTCCCATTGTATCTTCAGCTTCTATGCAGTGGAAGGAGCTGAGATGCCACTGAGGCAAGGAAAAATGATGATGTATAACGTCTGGGAGATTAGGCAACCAGACCTGTGACTATGAGATGGCCATCACACTTACACACCTTTTCCCCCACTGACTTGGCAACAGGCATAGCAGAAAGGGGCTGACTCTGGGTGCAATTACTAACAAGCTCATCTCTTCCTATCTCTCTGGTGACTCTCCTCCTCTCACGGCACATGGAGTTGATTCACTAACTATATGGAAACGTTAAAGAAGAAATGTTGTAACTATTTTAGGATTCCAGGGAAAGAAAAAAATGACCTTTTTTCCCAAGAGAGGGAGAATGGACAGAGGTGGGTAGCTGTGGAGATTCTCAAAATGGGCTCCCCCTAACCCCTGTTTTGCTTAGCCACACAAACTCTGGTTTACAAACCACAGGAAATATTTCTGCAACTCCTCAAAAGGAGCGTCAATTTGCTTAACCTTAGTACTCCGCTATGCTCTGCCCCTAACTCTGTGAATTCATGGTCTGTCAGAAATCACACCAACAAGCCAGAGGAAAACAAATACAGGAATACCTCGGTACTCAACTCTTCTAAAAGTTGTCATATTTGGTACTTGATGCATTTTGGTGCAAAAATTTTGTCCCAATACTTGTTTGTTTGTTTGGTTCTTGGTGTCAGCTACCTCATGACTTGATATTCTTTCCAGCTGAATCAAGGGATCACATATTACATGGTTTGTTTGGCCCTCATCATTTTTAGTACTCATCGTGGCTCCCAGAACCAATTAACGATGAATACCAAGGTACCACTGTACTTGGAACTGCATGGAATGGCATGTCTTCCAGGAGTCTTTGAACCTATGATGTAACCAGGGTGCTTCAAAAATAATTTTTGAAGGCTGCACTACAGGTATGTTTGCCAAATTATGAAGGCTGGAACTTATTTCCAGAACAGCACAAGACCTCTGTCTTTAGGGTAGGACAGCTTTTATAGACAGGGTTAGGCAATCATTGAGCATGTGTAGTGGATAATATTAAATTCTGAAAAGCAATTAGGAATTTCATTCTCTGGCTTTATTGAGGCTTAGAAATGTAAAACGAGAAAACTCAAATAAGGACCGTGTGGCTCCAATGAGCTGAACTCTTAAGAAGGCCATCTTTTCCCAGATATGAGTGAGAGAAGTAAGGAGAAATTCCTTCCAAGCCCCAGATATGACAATCATTAAATGGGTGAATGTTCAATCAATAATAGACTGCTATGTAATTTTGTTCAAAAATAAGCTGTATTGTTGAGGAGGATTAATTCCTAGGCAGGCATAGCACTGCCCCCTGATTTAACTAAACTGCTGATGTTGAAAAATGCTGATTGGAGCTAAGGTCTCCATGCAGAAGAAAGGATGAGATATGAGAAACTTCCCTACAAGTGGGAGAACTCTCTCACTTGTAGACGTGCACAGATGATCTTTTGAGAAGCCTCTTTCAGTTTGTTTGCTAGGGACTTCTATCTTTTCAGATTATAACCAAATTTACTGCCTTCAAGAAGACCATCAGTTTTGAAGTGAGCACCAAACAAAGAAATAAAACACAAATGGGTAATCAACAGTTCAGTAAAAGCCACCATGGGCAGGGAAAAACCCACCAATGAACCACCCCTCCTGGTGATTCAATGCACAATCACTTGTTTAGTTGATTGCACACTAGTAGTTTCAAGAACAATCAATCAGGTGAAATCCTAGCAGGACATCATGATATGGAGGTCATATATTTACTTGTGAGCAATTCACTGTTGTGTAACTCATCCAGGACAGGCTTGGGGCTTCATGTATGGTGTGACCTCTGCTCACTGTGATTGTTTCAACAAATTAACAATTTGTTAATAATTTCCCATCAAAGGCGCCACATCTGCTGATCCAACTTGCCAACCAGGACCTACCTTGTGGTGAAGCCTGGCCCTCCGGGGTATGAACTGCGACTGTACATCCCAGGTTGCACGTAACCTTTGCCTGTGGAACCCTCAGGGAAAGGCTGCTGTCCCATAAATTGTGGTGAGTTCATGCCAGAGCCACTGCTGGCCACGCTGGGCATCATGGGATTACCAGCGGTGTTTCCTCCAGGACCCATGGGGTTTCCAAAAACCTGCAAAAGATCAAGGGAGGAGAGAGAGTTCAACTAGATCAGCAATGCAAGGATCTACTTGTGGTCAAGCAAGATGTGAAGAGGGATAAGACAGGAGATCCGAATCCAGACAGTTAAAGAATCAGATGTTTCCACACATGCTCTAAGTCCAGAAATTTCTTTTGTATCAGAACTGAGTTTACATCCAGTCCTAGCAGCTTCCTCTGCACAATGCATCTATCAACACCCAGATATATGAGGACAACTGACAATTCTCTTTCTTAGAGAATCTCAGCAACTTGCTGGAAAAAGCATTAGAGGTCAATTGGATTTCTGTTTCATTTCTTTGTACACTAAGTCAATTCAGGCTTGCAACCCCTAAAAGTATGATGTGTATGGGGGAATGGGGAGGGGGAAACAGGGAGCTGCTTTGAGCTTTTAAAAACCACATAAAATGTATAGGACAAAGAAAAATTAGGGATGGCCTACCCTAGCCAGATACCTGCTGCCAATGTGTCTTCCAAACCTCAAACTTTGGAATTGCTCAGGCTATTTAATCTGGAGTAAACAACAAATATCTGCTATTGTTAAGTTAAATATCAGTGAAGAGAGGAATCCAGAAAACAACTAGAAAGACTATCATGAAGGCTGTGCTTCCTCACTTTTTTCAGAAGAACTTCATTGGGCTTAACCCAACACCTTAATTTATATTACTCTGATTTTTACAAATGTTATTTCTTTGAATTCCTTTCATTTGAAATCAGATGAGATTCAGGTAATTCTGAGATCCAATTCCATTTAAAGAGACCAAACAAAAGCAAACATGTGAAGACCTTTTCTTCCCTGCAAGGCCTCAAAGCTGAAAGAGGCTGTTGTGTTGTTTGTGAAAAGTCCACTATCTGTTCCTCATCAGATGAGACTATGGTTGGGAATGTTTGGTAATTCCTGGTCAATCTAATATCTCACCAGCAGATGTCAGAAAAAGAATCAGAGTAATATAAATTAAGGTGTTGGGTTAAGCCCAATGAAGTCCATTCTCAGTTCACTGCCAGACTTTAGCCCGGACATTATCTCACAACTAGCCTACTTCACAGCCTTGTTGTAGGAAAAATGGAAGGAAGAGCTACTAAAATGCAGCTTTACGTTCTTAGAGGAAAAATAGAATATACATTTAATGAACGATGTTGAATCAACATTCAACTCATATTCAACTCATGCCTGTTCAGACACATGTCCCAAATGAATTTGAAGAAACTCATTTCCCAGGAAAGCACATTTACGGTGACAATTTATCTGCTTTTAAGTGTGAAGGAGACCTACTGAACATGGAGGGAATGTTTAGAATTGTGTAATTAATTTAAATTGTAAAATTTGCAGGGTACAGAGCTGGAATTACATGTGGCTCATTTTACATATTGCTTGCTTGCCTTAAACAAATAATTTTATCTCCTCTTAAACCACAAATGTTTTCAGTTTGTTTTGTGGATTGAGCTTCTGGCTTTACTAAAATGAAACTGTGAAAACTAATTAGTCTAAAATGCTAAATGCCTCTCTCTGTCGTTTACCATTACTGTAACAAATTAACATAGCTACTTCCTTTGGAAACTTTCACTTTGCATAGTATGGCCTCATTCCTTGCAAAACAGTTGAAGATTGAAATGTACCAGAAGATAGACCTCAAGCTAGTAGATGAGTTTTAGATAAACAAAAATAAAACATTTATGTGGAAAGACTGGTACTAGACCTGGAAGTAAAGTTTATGATTTTTTTTACCTGTTTTAATCAGGAATTGGGTGGGGTGGGGTGGGGCTTGGCAGGGAAAATCCCGTGTAATTCTTGGTAGATTATCTACCAGCTCTCTCTGCTAATGTGAAACCTCATGGATCAAACTGGAACGGGGTGGCAGAAGGGTCACTGGGAATTTTGTCATGTAGATGACTCGTTTCTGGTCCCCCTTTCAGCAGAGATGAGGAGGTCCCTTTCACTGCCCTCCTCTTTGCCTGCATGACTGAAGGTGCCTTTTTGAGAAAAAGGATTTTATGGAAAAAAAATACCTCCACTGGAAAGAAAGAAGACTTAGGTTGTGAAAATTCACCTTTTTCTCAATCAAGTTTTTTATGAATTGTATTTCTGGGCAACTGGCTTTAGTGATAATTGCTAGTTTGATATTGTTATTTCCATGTATTGCTGCACAGAGTTGCATGAAGCTTCAAAAGGGACTATTAAGGGCAGCTCAAATATAATTTTAAGTGAAAATCAATTCTCTGATCCCCCCCCTGTAGAAAAGAATGGCCTAGGGACTACTGCTCCAGGATCATACTTTAGCAAAATTTGACAGGGGGTTGAACTGGGTGCCCCATATCCACTCCCCATCCATCCACCCACCGTCCTCTCTCCACCATCCCCCCTTTTGAAGGCTGAAAAGGGTACCTGGCTTTGGGATGTGTTGCTGACGCCCCAAACAGTGGTTACCACTGAGAGAGATCCTGCAGGCTGATTGGTATTCTGTTGCCAAGGAACTGACTCGTAGGCATATGAACCATCACTAGAAAGGAAAACAAAACAACATACAGCTGATGTGTCATGTCAGCAATTAGGAACCTCTGGGGAAATGTTCAGAGAAGGGGCACAGGGGGAAACAGGGGTGGTATTTGCAACTGGATATGAGGAAACAGCAAGCAAGCAATCCTGAGAAAAATTTTAAAAATAGGATTGCTAGATAGTTGTGGGTCATGATCATAAAATGAAGCCTCTGTTTTCAGCAAATTCCAGGCAGGAGGAAGACAACAAAATTGAAGGGGAAAGCAGCAGTTTTAATGGGACGTGTGTTTTCCAGAACCTCTGGTGATTCTGTGCACTTACAGGCTTACTACAGTGCAACCTCTAAACCCTATGGAGGAGAGGAACCTTAGGATTCATAAGTAAGAGTGAGACAGATCCTAGGAGGTAAGCAGCACCTTTCCACACCTTATTTTGCCATCTGCCCATTTTATGGTCACCTTTTCAGTACTTTGAAGTATGCAGTCTGCAGCTTAAACTAGCTATTCCCTCACCCCAAAATTCAAGGAACTGCAATGGATTCTGGTTTATCCCTACTCTATGACACTGCTAATCTCCTTAAAGGGCAATTGTAAGTGCACTTTGCAGGTAGTCCTCAACTTACAACCCTTCATTTAGCCACTGCGTGAAGTTACAATGACTTCAACCAGTCCTCTTACAACCACTGCAACCCTCCCAGAGTCATGTGACCAAGGTGATTGGCGACTGCCATGCATTTAAAATAGTTACAGCGGCCTGGGGTCATATGATCACCATTGGTGACTTTCTCAGCTGACTTCCAGCAAGGAAATTCAAAGGGGTGGGAGGGGAGCTGGATTCGCTTAACAACTGTATGATTGATTTAACAGCTGCAGTGATTCGCTTAACAACTGTAAAATTGGGCACAACTGCTTAACAGCAGCAATTCCGGTTCCAATTGTGGCTGTAATTTGAGGACTGCATGCACCCCCTTCCTTTTATTAGGTGGTAACTTCCGAATGGGAAACAAGAATTGCTGCCCAGTCAGGAATGGGAAACTCTGCATTCCACTCAAGGGCTCCCTTGTATTTCCAGCCTTTTTGCAACCCTCAGGGCTGGAGACATTAATGAAAGGAAAGAGATCAGGATGCTGAGCCCTGTGCCCACATTACAAGAGTTGCCAAACAGCAAACCTCCAGGGTCAGATGAAAAGAGGCATGTGTAAAGCTGATAGAGGAGGTGAGCCGTATCATACTCACCCATGCGGGGTGGGAGGGAGCGATGGTTTCATTGGGTTCATGGGGGTCATTGGCTACAGGGAGGTGAAGGGGCTGGGTGCAGGATCCAAGGCCACACAGGGAGACTGGTCACTGCCTCTCAGATGTCACAGCAGCAGATAGACTAGAAGGAAGCAGGCAGGAAGCAAGACGTTAGCAGCTGCATAGAAACACAGGAAGTTTCTTATTCGAAGTCAGACTGTCAGACCCAGAATTATGCAAAGTATTTCCCAACCTGGGAAGCTTCCAGAGATGTGGCCTTCTGCTGGTGGGAAATTCTGGGACTTGAGGTCCATACCCATATTTCTGGAAGCTGTCCAGGTTGGAAAACACTGTGATGAACCAATGGGCAGCATCTACTCAGGGTTCCAGACAAGCAATTGGGTGTATGAAGTAGCCAAACCATGTCTTTTGTTGTAGTCCAGAGGGTGAGCCTTCTCCCCCATCTGTTTTATCTTCTCAACACACTTGCAAAGAAAGTGGAACTAAGGAAGGTGGAGACCATATGAAGATATTTGAGATTTACCTCCTCCAAGGTCAACATCCTTGCTTATAATTTATGACTAACCCTTCAAGTGGCAACTTCACCAAACCAAGGTGGCTGGGTGGAGCTGACTGCCCAAGACACATGCCAATATACAGAGCTCCTCTCTCAAAACATGTGCTCTCTTGGCCTTGATGATAGGGCCTCCCTCCCTGGTTCCCCTTGTGTCCTCAGATACCCTCTTCTCCTCCAACAGAGTCAAGGCCAGGAGTGGGTGGCAGAGCTGGCACCCAGTCAACCCAACAACTTTGAGTTCTTTTGTTCTGAAGCAGCAAATGTCTCCCCATCCCTTTCCAAGATACCATGTTTAATTTCTAGGCCGTGCAGGTAGAAGCTAAGTGAACACCTCTTGTATCTTCTCTTTCCACAATGATTTGTCTGTGGCTCTCCCCCTTAATTTTCCTGAGGGGAAGTGGCCCCATTTGTTTAGCAGAGGCTTTCGGCTCTGACTACGTCAACTTTATACAGCGGCCAGAAGGAACTTGGCGTACTGCCCAGATATGGCAAAACAAGGTCCTGGCAGGAGCAAGCTGTCGAGCTGGCCTAGTTACACCAGATTAACTCTGTGTTGCCCACAGCTTCCGGACCCACTCAAGAATGTACATCCATCGCTCTACCTGAGCATCTATCTGGCCCTTGGAATCTGAGGGTGCCAACACATACCTTGTTATCACACCAAACATAAGAAGATACTTATTCAGGGGAGGGAAACCACGAAAAGCAGTTTTATCCTCTCAACAGCCAAGATTTGCAACCTGCTTTTCATACATAGATGATGCTGAACTGTATCTCCAACAGTGCTGGCTAAATAACATGATCACTGGTGAGGGAACTTGGGAGCAGAAACCTCCAGAGAACCACAAGTTGTGTGTTCTATCATTAAAAATAGCAGCTAAATTCACATAACATGCCCAGCCTTCATGGGGTCAGTTTGGTCTGATTATGACTTAGCATGTACAAGCTAAGATGCAAACCTAGACATTTGGGTGTAGACAACAAGCTGTTTGTAAACTACCCATGAGTTAGAGCACCTTGTGAAGCAAAGTCTATATGGCTGCAGAAAGAGAGCAGCCCCAACATTCAGGGGGTGGGGGATGACATGTCAGGGTAAAATAGTGGTTTTTAGGGTTGCCAGGTCTGCTTCCAAAAAATAGCGGACAAGCGGGGTGGGGGTTAAGTAGTAAAAAAATAAAAAAAATATTTACAATTAAATTATACATTTTCTTACAAACATTTTAACACATATTAAAATAATCACTTCAAAACTTTACTTAAAATTCAAAACATCAAATATATTATAATAACATGTAAAATATTAAATTACATTTTACTTTGCTGTCGTGTGTATTTTTTATTTGACTGCACAGCTTTGATCAATTCTTTGTGTTTAAGGAATAATTCTTTAATTTCAGTACAACGTTGAGAAATATTAAAAAATATACAAAGTTCACTTCGAACTGATGGTACAAGCAGTCGGTTACGTTCGTCAGTCCACAAATTTCCCATGATGCTGAAAATTCGTTCAACGTTTGCATTTGATACCGGAATTGATGCACAATACTGGAACAGTTTCAGTAAACTCGGAGCTGGCTCTTTCTTGAAAAAGTACGTCCACTTATCAAGGGATGAATTGCCCTGCAGATGAACATAAACTTCTTCTAAGGCAGAAATTTCATCGAAGAGAGTGTTGGGTGGAAGTTCTTCTCGCCATGGTGATAATAACCAGATGTTCGTCATTTCTTCTAAAGTTGGAGGATTATTGCGATCAATTAGATTGAAACAACTTAGCATCTCATATACTGAATTGGTGAAATTATACCACTTTTCTAGATACGCAATGGCTCTTTGATACACGTTGATGGCTTCGTTCTTGAACTTTTGCATGGCATTCTCAGGCAAATGTTTTTTACGTAAGGCAAATAAAACTTTCATTCCAAAAAACTGCTCATCGTCTTTTTTTTGCAAAGAATCACGCAGCTTACACATGATAATGTGAAGATCACATGCAAGAATTTTCTTGCTTTCCAGCTTCAGTAGGGTGTCTTGCATTATTGACATGAAGAAGTGCATGAAATATAATACAATTCTGAAATTGTTGGTTCATAGTCCTTTGCGAGTTCATTTTCTTGATCCGAAATAAGGTTCCAGATAACCTTATGGCACTCATCAGATCCAAGAGAAATAAAATACGATTTTAGAGGTATCCAGTTTAAAAGAAGTCTTTCAACCGCTTTAAACAAACTTAACCAACGTGTTGGAACATGGCGCAAAACTTCATGGAATTCTGACTCGCAAAACTCAAAAAATGATTTCAACTCTTCTCGTTTCTTCGCAGAATTCGAAAATTCGGCAAAAACCTTCAGCACTACATTTTCGATATAAAAAGATAACTGCTTTAATGCATTTTTTGCGCTGTTGTGTAAAATGGGATTATTGCAATGAGCAGCTACAATATTGTCATTTTCCAGCAATAATTTTTGGTAAACAGATTTGTTCACTCCATAATTGACCGATGCATTATCTGCTGAGAAAGCTGAAACATTATTTATTTCCAATTCGTTATCACTAAGAACTCGACACAGCTGATTTTTTATTGATGTAGAATCTTCGAAAGAATCCTCATAAAAGTCTAAAATTTTCACACACAGTCCTTCTTCACAAGTAAAATATTGTGCAACAATGGGATACATTTTGCGATTTCCCTTGTTTGATGCGTCAGTGGAGAGAGAAAATGGAATTCCAGTTTTAAGATCATTGAGAACCAACTCAATAGAAAAAGGATACAAAACCTCATTGACAATAGCTGATGATTTGGTTCTTCCACAAGACATCTTTTTTACAATTTCTGAATCATCAAAAATTTGCTTCATTAACTTAATACCGCAATCTTGAGCCAGGAAAGAAATATGGTGTTTGATCCCATGGTAAGTTTCAGCCATTTCAGCTACAGTCACTTTCTCACTGAAAGAGGAGTCTTTAACAATGAAAAACGAATTGATTCACTTGTTGCTGGAAGCTATTTTCTCCTTATCTAAATGATTTTTTGTGCTTGCATGCTGTGTGACAGCTTTTATACCATTATATTCAATTGTGAACGATTTCTGACACAATTTACAGTAGGCCGTCGTATTTGTTCTGTCGGTTTCGTTGTTAGTAATCTATTCAAAAGTAGCTTCCCAGTCTTTGGTATATTTGCACACTCCTCTCTTTCGTTTTAAAGAATTCGAAATCTCACCGCTGTCACTCTCATCACTCGAGGCCATTTTAGGTCAGTCGACACAAGCTACAATACATTTTAAAAATGTGAACTGTACATAATTTTATAATATATTTTTATTTTAATCTCATCATTAATTTTTTCGGAGAATCGAGTTCAATGGATATTCGATCTTTGTCTCATTCTAACTTATGAAAAAAAAGACAAAACGCGATTCTCCTATCCTTATTCTCTTAAACTGTACAGCTTTAGATTACGTACCATTTCATCATAAAGCTTTTGAATAAAAAAAATGTCCACTATTTTGTGAAAAAAAATAGTGAACATAATGTGAAAAAAGCGGACTGTCCGCTCAAATAGTGGACACCTGGCAACTCTAGTGGTTTTTCGGTATATAAGAACCCTTACCTTTACATAGGTAACTAAGAGTTCTTTAATATGTTAAGAAAGAGAGCAGAGACTGTTGGGAAAGAGACTATGGGAGAAGGAGGAGTAGGAGGAGAATCTAGAGTAAATCCAATCTCCGTGACCAGACTTTAGGAAACAGGCATCTCTTTCTTCTGCTGTTTTTTCCCCAACCTCCCAGATTGTCTAGAATAGTGGGAATGACATAGTAAGAATAGTAAAGCAAACATGCCAAGCAGATCTAATTAACTTCACTTAGTTTGGGGAGGAACCATGGGAAACCCTATTTCCAGCCCTTCCTCCTCACCTCCCCACCTTCAAGAGTAAAGTAAAATTTAGGGAGAGAAATTATGCCCTCCCATTCTTCCCATTACTCATCCCATGCAGAATAGGAATAGCAATAGTACTTAGACTTATATACACAGTGCTTTACAGCCCTCTCTCTAAGCAGTTTACAGAGTCAGCATATTGCTCCCAACAATCTGGGTCCTTATTTTACCTACTTCAGAAGAATAGAAGGCTGAGTCAATCTTGAGCCGGTTAGGATCGAACTGCTGGAAATCAGCAAAATAGGCCTGCAATGCTGCATTCTAACCACCACGCCACTAAACTGGGTGGATAAGGTTCTAGAGGGCAATGTTTTCAATATTAAGCAAAAATCAAGAACATGAGATATAACCTCAAACTGATAAAGTCATATTAAAATTAAATTTTGATGGATGAGTTATTGAGGCAACACATGGATACTTAAATAATTTGCATGTCTCCCTAAGATCACACATTATATGTGAGCACCTCGATTCTCTTTCCACTAAGATATTTTGGTTTTTTATTCAGTCATTTTCTTTACTGGCTTTTTCATCTTGAGAGAAAAGGAACAAAAACAGCCTCCCCAAAAAAGAGGGATCATGATATTGTAGAGCAGAAGGTAGAAAGAATAGAACAGAAACACATTCTGGATAAAAGATTTCTCACTGCTTTTAGAGCAAGGTAAGGCTGTTAAGACTTTTTTGGCTGAGCGAGTCTCATGGTGTAGTGTAGTCACTGTAGTGATTAGCTCCCACTGATGCCCCATTGTGTGTAAATCAAAGATCAGTTGTCAGGGGGGAAAAGGTGGTGAGGGGGACACAATTCTTAAGAAGGTCTGGAACAAACAATTTCTTCTGTAGTGATTCCACTTTAGCCAGTTCTCTTCAGGACTGCCTTTTAACAGGTTGATGGTTAGGGAAAAATATAAATCCAATAGAACAGGTATTTCTATTAATTTTAAGTGTTAGAGTGCCTGGTGGAACAAGGACCATGGTGCTTGTCGAGAAGTACAAGTAGTCCTCAAATTACAATAATTGGTTTAGCAACTGTTTGAAGTTACAACAGCACTAAGTGATTTATGATTGGTCCTCAGACTTACAACCATAACAGCATTCCCACAGTCACGTGATCAAAATTTGGCATTTTGATGTATTTACAATGGTTATAGTGTCCCGGGGTCATGTGATAGCTATTTGTGACTATCTCAGTTGGCTTCTGACCAGGAAAGTCAATGGGGAAGCTGGATTCACTTAACAACCATGCAATTCACTTACCGTATTTTTCAGAGTATAAGTCACAATTCCCCCCCCCCAAAAAGGGTGAACATTTCAGTGCATCTTATACACCGAATGTAGCCCCACCGCCGGCCCCCTCCCTTTGGCCTCTGCCTCCCAGCAATTTACCTCCTTGCAGCAAACAGCCCATTTCAGCTTCAGCACAGCCTGATTAGCAGAACGAACATTGTCTTACCTGAATGTTCCTTTTTGGAGCACTGCGACTGCAGTCCATAGCTGGGTTTCTTCATCATCACTTCATTTTGACTGGGTGATATTTTAAATTAGTGTCTCTCTTCGTCCTGTGGCCACGCCTCTCACTCCCATAATGCACCAGTCTTTGAACAAAGGCGCGACCACCTAGTAGTAATCAGAAGAAAAGTAACAGTAGGCGAAACAATAACAAAGCCAGGCCTGGTCAAGGCACCAAAAGTCAAACCAAGGAAAACAGGGGAGGGGATGGACTGCAGTCGCAGTGCTCCGAAAAGGAACATTCAGGTAAGATAATGTTCGTTTTCCAGAGCACTGCTCCTGCAGTCCATAGCTGGGATATACCCAAACTCAGACAACAAGGGTGGGAGACTAATAACCCCCAGAGTCCTGCGCCACAAGAACACTTTGCAGGACTCGACGGCCAAAGGAAGCTTCAGCGGAGGCAAAGGAATCCACCCTGTAGTGTCTTATAAAAGGCGTCACTGAGGACCAAGTGGCGGCCCGGCAGATGTCCGAAACAGACGCCTGTGTGGCCCAGGCAGCAGAAGTCGCCGCACTATGAGTTGAGTGAGGCAAAATCCCAGATGGAACTGGCCTAGCCTGATGTTCATATGCCATAGATATGCACGCCTTAATCCATCTGCCCACGGTCGATGAAGATACTTTTTGGCCCAATGACCTCGGGTGGAAGGAGACCAAAAGGGCTTCCGTTCTCCGGAAGGATTCAGTCCTGCGAATATAGCGATGGAGGGCCCTGCGCACATCAAGGGTGTACCAATCCTTCTCACGTTGGTGCTTGGGCGATGGACAGAAATCCAGAAGGATTAATTCCTGGGCGCGATGAAAATAGGAGTTCACTTTCGGCAAAAAGGCCGGGTCCAGGCGAAGAACAACAGTGTTAGCGTGGAAAATACATAAGTCTTTCCTAATTGACAAAGCTGAAAGTTCCGATATCCTCCTGGCGGAGGTAATCGCCAAAAGGAAGGCCATCTTAAAGGACAAGTACTTAAGGGATATAGAACCCAGCGGTTCGAAGGGGGGAAGCATAAGCGCTTGAAGAACAAGGGAAAGGTCCCAGGTCGGGTACCGATGAACTGGGGGCGGACGTAGGTTCATAGCCCCGTGCAAAAACCCTTTGAGTAACGGATGCTGAGACAAAGAAGAGTAAGGCGGGCACCGAATGACTGTGGACAAAGCAGCGGTCTGTTGACGAAGGGTGGATGGTGACAAGCCTTTGTCCAGGCCAGATTGCAAAAAACAGAGAATGTCAACGATCTGAGCTGATGTAGGGTCCACCAGGTTGTCAGCACCGGCGGCTGAGAAAAGAACAGGGAACCCCGAAGGGTCGGAATCCCGTGCTGCTGTCTGACGGCCGTCAGACGCTCCGGGGAAGGGCGGACTGGAGCCCCAGGTCCGTCGCTCACTCCCAGCAGCTTCTCCAAAGGCTCTCACCAAACGAGGAAATTAATCAAAAAGAAAATAAAAGCTTAAGCGCAAGAATTCTAACAAACAGCCTAACTTAGATCACAAAGAGAGAAAAACCACACCAGTCTTCAGTGACTGAGTGAAAAGACTGGTGCATTATGGGAGTGAGAGGCGTGGCCACAGGACGAAGAGAGACACTAATTTAAAATATCACCCAGTCAAAATGAAGTGATGATGAAGAAACCCAGCTATGGACTGCAGGAGCAGTGCTCTGGAAAAGCAGTTGATTGTCAGTTGGATCGGCCTCCCGATCCTCAGATGTTTCAGGTTGCAGGGATTGCCATTGCCTATTGCTGTGTGGGCCTCCGCTGCTGGCTGCAAGAAGGCAAATTTTTTTTTCTTATACTAATCAGGTTGTGCTGAAAACAGAAATGAAACTAAAGTAGGCTGTTTGCTGTTTGCTGCAAGGAGGAAAATTACTGGGAGGCAGAGGCAGATTTTTTTTCTTGTTTTCCTCCCCAAAAAAGGTAGATACGTCTTATAGTCCAGAGCGTTTTATACTCTGAAAAATACGGTAACTGCAGTGATTCACTTAACAACTGTGGCAAAAAAGATTATAAAATCAGGCATGATTCGCTTAGCAACCGCCTTGCTTAAGCAATGAAAATTCTGGTCCCCAGATTTTGGGGGGCAATAAAGGGATGCTGTAAACTGCTTAGTAAATGCTGTAAAGCATTATGAAGCAGAAGTGCTATTGCTATAGTGCTATTACTTGCATATTCCCCTTTAATGTAGCTAATCCACTGAACTGCTTAACGCATTGTAAACCGCCCTGAGTCTTCGGAGAAGGGCGGCATATAAATAAATAAATAAAAACCCTGCAATCCTGTGCTGATATTACAAGGATGGTAGATTCCTGTTTGACATGACTGCAGTTTCCTAGATCAGTGTTACCATCCATAAGGGCACACAGAAGTCTTGGCAACATGCCATAAAGCAGGACAGGGCAATTGTGAGCCATTTATGATCTGGGGACTTTAACTAACCATGGTGGCTCTGGAATTCTGGGAATTGAAGTCAACAAGTCTTAAAGTTGCCAAGGTTGGACTTTAAAACAGTCTTCTTATAATTCTTCCTATTGCATACTTCTTAGTAATCATTTCAGGGAATAATGGCTGGGTGGGGAAGACCCACAGAAAAAGAAGAAAGCCCCAGCATACCACATGGCCCATTTTCCCCAGTCCTTTATGTCCATGAGGTTCACACATCTCAAGGACATTATTTTGGAAAATATATGTCCAGTAGAATGTAAATGCAGCCATCCTTGTTCATGCTGGCTCAGGAATTCTGGGAGTTGAAGTCCACAGGTCATAAAAGGACCATCATTGCCCACTGCTGTTGTAAAGTACTACTTGCCAGTATGCTTTTCAACAAGAATGGGCAGAAGAAACAAAAAGGGGCATTTCCGTGTTAGGTGACAGCAAGCAGGCCATCCTCCTTTGCCTGTATACCTCTGATCAGCTGGGACAACTGGTTTAAACAAGGACACATTTTGCTTCTGGAATGGTTTACACTTCTGGTTTTCTCTTCCCATTACTGGTGATCCTTTATTGTTCTTATTAACTATTTCAAAAGCTATTGGTTATATATTTATCTTGCTGCATCCTAATCAAAGCACATTGAGCCTAAGAAAATAAGATTGCTGTAACTAAAGATATCCTTCTCCTCCTGTTCCTGTAACAGATCCTCTGCTCTATATATTGCTAGGAGACTCTGAACAATGAACACACACACACACAAACTTTATTAACTGGGACAGCTTCTTCAGAAGAAAACCATGTTTAACCCCAAAATGAATTAGCTACTAAAAGATGGCAGAGTGTCAGACAGAAAAGGAAAAGACTCTCACTTAGATATGTAGGGGGGAAAAAAAAGGACTTAACCAGTAAATCTCATGTAGTTTTTTCAAAAACATTGCCCTGCAGATATGCTGGCCTTCAATTCCCATAATCTCTAACTAGCAAGGCTAGAGATTTTGTGAATTGAAGGTCAATGCTTGCGGAAGACCGTGGGGGTCTGAGGAAGGTGTGGCCCTTCCCCATAAAACTTCTGATAGCAGCTTGGAAGAAAGTTTTGCTTCTGGGGAGGAAACGGGCAAGGGAGGAGGAGGAAAAATAGATTCATTTCTCATCTAACCAAAACATACAATCTGACAGCTTCCAACTGTCAGTTGAAAACCTCATTTCCCTCAGACAAAGCCATTGCCTCATGTGGGACTGGCCACAAGTCTTCTAACTGCTCTTCTGTACATTTAAAGAAAAAAAAGGCTGTTGTTTTTGCAATGTAGTGTGGGATGGTGTGCCAAGAAGGGGAATACACAAACACACATGCAATATGTGAAAGGGAAGGGCAGAGAACACAGCAAGAGCAGAGGCGACGAGCAAGGTACACAGGGAGACCCTTCCAATTTTTTCATAGGAAGCTACAGATATCTTTTCCCACTATAAACAGTTAATGAAAAAGAGGGGAAAAGAGGAACTGAAGATATAAACACTTCCAGTAATATTGTAGAGAGTAAATGTAACTCAGGGTTGAATTGTGGAGTTCTTGGTTATCTTTGAGCTTGGCTGTTTGTTTGCAGACATTTGTTTTGTTACCCAACTAGGTAACATCATCAGTGGACACCGATGATGTTACCTATTTGGGTAGTGAAATATCTGCAAACAAACAATCAAACTCATAGAGCACCAAGGACTCTACAGATGAATACTTTTACCGCAGCAGAGGAGAGAAGAAACTGGTCATTTCTGACAATTTTCCCAGTTATACTATACAGTACAGATTTGCCATCCTGGTGCCTGTGTGAGGTGTAGGACCACAACTACCATAAACCCACAAAAACTATGGTAAGTACTCCATATTGGGGACAGGGATGCCAGCCCTACACTTCAGAATATAAAAGTTTGAAGTATTCTCTACCTCCTCCTCCCCCCCACTCCCCCATGCTCCCAGAGTAGTAATGCTTTTGCCCCTGGTGAAATTGTCAATTTTGATTTTAAATAAAAACAACTCCTCTTCCTTAACCCCCTACTAATTTTGAATGTTATTGGATGATCATGTTTATGACACCCTCCTGCGCGAACTGCACTGGCTCCCAGTGGTCTTCCGGGTGCAATTCAAGGTGTTGGTTACCACCTTTAAAGCGCTCCATGGCATAGGACCCGGGTACCTTCGAGACCGACTTCTGCTACCAATAGCCTCCCACCGGCCAGTCCGCTCCCACAGAGAGGGTCTCCTCAGGGTGCCATCAGCCAAGTTATGTCGGCTGGTGACACTCAGGGGGAGGGCCTTCTCTGTGGGAGCCCCAGCCCTGTGGAATGAACTGCCCCCGGAAATACGTAAGATCTCTGACCTCCGGGTGTTTTGCTGCGCACTGAAGACCCTGTTGTTCCGCCAGGCTGGGCTATCAACATAATAATTTTAAATTGGGGTATTTTAAATTTCCGGGGTTTTAAATTGAGCCAAATCTATTTAATAATTTTAAATTTTTAATCGTTGTTTTGTCTTGTGTTTTTAAATAGGCTGTACACCGCCCTGAGTCCTTCGGGAGAAGGGCGGTATAGAATTATTATTATTATTATTATTATTATTATTATTATTATTATTATTATTATTTATCTCCTTGATATGGACAAGCTTTACCTAATGATGATTAAATGAGA